CGTCCACATGTAGGAAATATCTCTCCCCCCCTGTCTCCACCCGCCGTGCTGTCGATGTGCGTTACCTCCGCCCCGACGAGCAGATCTGCTACACTTCCTGATGAAAAGGTAACGCACACTCCTCCTACGATAAATAATGAACACGGGCTTTATTCAAGCATTAAAGTGACTGTTTACAGACAATGAAACACCAATCAATCATATCAAATCAAGGAAATCAGATCTAAGAATGGTCTCTAGAACATTGAGATACAGAAAGGAATTAAACATCACCTTTTTTCATATGTAGTGACACAGAGAGGCAGGAGCAGTGTAGCTGTCAGAAAGGTTTGAACAGAGAGCTAATGGCCGCTGTTAACGCTTTTAGGGAGGCAACACACACAGACAACCTCCATCATCGTAACCCACATCTGAGCTCACACACACACACACACACACACACACACACACACACACACGTCCTTTGATTAAACACAAGTACAATTAGTTGTAAAATATGCCAAATAGGTACAGTACTTGCAAACACACACACAACCTCCACCTCAATCACAGTATACGTCAACTGAGCTCACACACACTTTTATTAAACACACATTCACTTATCTATAAGCATTCTCCCTCTTTATTAGCATTAGCAATTAGCATTGCCATGTCAAAAGACCCTCAAAGAATAGGTACAATAGTTGCACACACACACGCTCACACACGCATAGATTCCTGAATACTTTGTTCAGCGACTGTAGGTGGTCAAAGTCGACGTGTAGCAAGCTAAAAGGTCAGGTGTGTTAGTGTGTGTTCGTGTGTGTGTGTGTGTGTGTGTGTGTGTGTGTGTGTCTGCAGGGTGCTTCAGTTGAATGTCCCGACCTTTACTGAGTGTCGGTGTGGCGCAGGGTCAAAGGTCAAACCTCTGCAGAACACACACACACCTCATTAAAAATAATTGAAGGAATATTTTGTAGCTTTGAAAAAAGTCTTGCATTTATATATGAACACACCAAGGTTCAGGTAGTGAGCACAAAAATTGAAAAACAAAAACCCATTTATGTTTATGTTTATGTGAATACGCCATAATGTAAGCAGACTGAAGGCTCTCTGTGTTGTGATTGTGTTTGACAGGAAAACGTTTCTCTGTTGGGTCTCAATGTGACGCTTCACTGATCACTTTCACCCGCACGCCTTGACCTTTAACCCCCAACACACACACACACACTCACCTCAGGTTGTGTGTTGTCGGTGACACGGCTGCCATCGCGGCGTCCTCCATGTCAATATGCCAAAACAGGTTGCATCAGCGAGCTTGTTTTGTTGACCTAAGCAGATGAGGCGGGTGGAGAGATCATCTAATATTGATGCTGCGAGCTGAAACACAACTGCTCCCCTCTGAATGAGCAGAACAAGTTTAGTTTCAATGAAGACTTTTTCAAAATACTACACACATGACCGATATAACACACTACAGGAAGAAGAAATAACCCCAACAAGCAAAATAGGACCCCTTTAAGTACTTATAAATGGTCGTTAAATGAGGAAGCTTAAAAGAACCAAACTACTTTTAACTTAAAGTCTATTTTGAGTTTCAAAAAGTATTGATTGGTTTGAGACGAAAGCATCTTAACTGAGTGTGTTTTCTGAGTGTTAAAGCCTCCAACAGGTGACACGCTGATGAAACATAATCATTTAATGCAGTTTGTGTTTCTGTGTCTCTCGTTGTTTGTTGTGTTGACTCTGATATGATGCTGCTGAATTATTCACCGTATTTTTCGGCGTCCTGCTGCTTCTGCTTCCTTCCCCTTTTTTCCATGAAGCTGCTGAAGCTCACAGATCGGCCTGACCTAAAAGCACTGACATCTCAAGGGGCGATCACACACTGAGCTGCCAAAATGTGTGTGTGTGTGTGTGTGTGTGTGTGTGTGTGTGTGTGTGTGTGTGTGTGTGTGTGTGTGTGTGTGTGTCTCGTCCACACTAGAGAGCAGAGAGACAACCTCGACCTAGATACTGAAGGAACAACCAGAGGAGGGTTCAAGGAGACGAAGAGGAGGAGGCAACAAATGAAGAGGTAAAACAGCAAAGAACGAAGGGACATTGAGGAGAAACAGGTCCAACAAAAGGAGAGGGAATGTCTGGGATATTAAATAAGAAAATGAGGAGGAAGAAGAGATTAAATGGAGCTTGGAAAACTACTGAAAGAAAAAATCAATCTAGGAAACAAAGACGACGGAGAAGTGAGGAAAATGTCAAGAGGAGGAAAAGTACTCAGAACTAAATACATGTAGAGAAAGAAAAAATAGGAGGAGGAAAATATCAGGAAATAAGAGGATCAAAAAGTAGTGAAAGATAAAGAAATGTTGGGCGAGAAGAGAAGATGTGGGTGATGAAGAGGGGACGAGAGAGGAAGTAAGTAAAGAGGAAGAGGAGAGAGTAAGTGAAGAGGAGTAGTGTGTTTGGAGGTCACGGCCTCCCTCCTGTGGGTCTGATAGATCCACACTGACAACCAGAGACCACCGGAGACACACACACACACACACACACACACACACACACACACACACACACACACACACACACACACACACACACACACACATACACACACACAGCTCCTTCAGGACCACTGTGTCTGTCTAAACTTTGTAAATATTAGAATTTTCTTTATTAATCAAGGCGTGAGTGTAGGAGAGTAGGATGATTGACAGCTGAAGGGCGGGACCTGGTTCTCACAAGGAGTGTGTGTGTGTGTGTGTGTGTGTGTGTGTGTGTGTGTGTGTGTGTGTGTGTGTGTGTGTGTGTGTGTGTGTGTGTGTGTGTTTGTGTTTGTGAGATCACTGACCATTGTGTTTAATTATTTTTGTTTCAGATGGAGCTGTACCGCCCCCTGCTGGTTGCTCTTAATACTGCATGCAGGTAAGAAATGCTTATATGATTATACCAAATTGATTCAAATATGTATTTACTGATTTAACCATTTATTATTTGTATTTACTTATTCATGCATTCACTTATTTATCTATTTTATTTATTTAGTTACTGACTTAACAATTTATTATTTGTATTTATGTGTTGGTGTATTTATTTATTTATTTACTGACTTAACCATTTTTGTATGTATTTATTTATTCATATATTTGTTTATTTATTTATTCATTCATTTATTTACTGACTTAACAATTAACCATGAATTATGAAAATAACAATAATGGTAACGTTAGTTGAAATTTATTTCAATTTTTTTTTATTTAAAATGTAAACACAAAGAGAATCTCTAGTAAGAATGGAGTGAAAGTGAGATGAAGATTGAGTGTTGTAGCAGCAGGAGGTAATCCCTGCAGTCCTCGGGGATTAACGATTAGCGTCTTCATTTCTCTCTGTAATCCTGCTGCTCTCTGAAAGATACACAGGAAACTACTGCAGAAAGTATTTATACACACATACACACCATCTGCACTTCACTTGCCGACACCTAAATACCTTCTGATGGTAGATTATCTCCTCTATCTGTGACACAGCGGGAATTATGAGAAAAACTGTTTTATGTTATACTACAGAAGAAGTAGAAGTACATGTAAGCACAGCTGGATGCAGTACTCTTTAGTACATCTAGTAATACTTCTGTGTAGAAATACTATGTAACAGTTACTGAAAAGAACTCCAACCAAAATGTAAGTAAAATAAATTATTACTCATTCTGCAAAACTCACTATTTTCGAATCATATAAATGTTAAAAATATTGTAATATTATAATTATTTATTTATATACATCACATTTTTATCATTTCATTTTGTGGTAAAGGAAGTGCTAGTTCTTTTAATATTTGTTGTTGTATTATTAATTATTATTAATCTGAATATCTGGCATCTCCAGGAGAGTTTAACCCAGAAGCATGCTGTGTGTGTGTGTGTGTGTGTGTGTGTGTGTGTGTGTGTGTGTGTGTGTGTGTGTGTGTGTGTGTGTGTGTGTGTGTGTGTGTGTGTGTGTGTGTGTGTGTGTCTCGTAAAGTGCGCAGCAGGAAGATAACTGATTAAGTTTCCATAATTATCGAGATAAAGAGGCTGCTCTGAAACCGGATCTCTGCAGGAACTCTAAACCTGCTGCACTGTAACATCTCCATCTGAAGAGATCTCCAAGTCTCCATGAAATAAATGCACATTATCCTTATTTTTGATCATCATTCTCACTATAACATCCTCTATTTCAGTTTTGAGTGTGACAGAGACAGAAGTGCTAAATTAATAGAATTACCCTCGCACTGTTCGGCATTAAGTAGATACAACGTAAATGCTACTACTTATAATGCAAGATTTTTGTAGCTCACTAATAGAGGTGGGTTTTTTTAAAGTCACTAATATCCCGAACACTTAGTGTCCACGTTATTTGTGTGTAAACAAACAGCCACAGTGTTAAAGATGTGCAGCAGATACTCCAGGCTGAGATGAATGGAGGTGGAGGTCCATCGACTGCAGAGTGCTTGATCTGTGTCGGGGGGGTTTATCCGTATTAGTGTAATCTTTCCTTCTGTGCCCAACAGGTCCGCTCGTCATCCTCCATTCATCCTACAGACGAGAACAAGTCACATCTGCTGCAGCTGGATTTAGCGAAGATACACAGCTAGAGTTTCGTTCGCTTCCTGACTTCTTTATTTCGTTTTAGGTTTGATATCAGGTGTTTTTTCTGTCCTAATAATCCTCCTGTAAATACTGCCTATAAACCGCCTTCAATCAAAAGCCATTCAAACAAAAGCAAACACTTATTGAGTCAACTGAAAAGGTTGCAGTAATTAAATACAGGTAGTTATAAATAAACCTGGAGATAAACACCCTCCGCTTCAATCCATCAAATCCATCCTGACTCTAATTCTCTGTGGCCCAGTTTCACTCTCTTAACCCCCCCTCTCTCCTCTCCTCCTCCTTTAACCCCCCTCCCACAGCGCATGGTGAATAATTGACGATCTCTCCCCCCTCCTCCCCTCGCTGTGTCTCTTTCCATCTCTCCTCTCTTTGTGGTGTCTCGTCGGATGACAGCGCCTCCGTCATGTCCCTCCACCTGATGCATGCTGACCGGCGTCTGCAGGAGACACAGCTGCTGGTAAGGTTACTTTTTTATTTAAAACATTTTCTTTATTGGATTCAAGTTGTTGAATAGTATTATATTTTTTAAATATATTTTTCTTGTATTTTAAATTGTACAACTTTATTTCATTTGTTTGACTTTTTCTGTCACAGCTGCTGGTAGAGAGTCGGAAAATGAATCTATTATTATTAACTACTGCACCGGTTCTTCATTTAAATGTTACTGCTATGCTATATCACTTATACTATTGTTTTTTAAGGTTGTACAGTTGAACTTGTTTTATCAGAGCTGCTGACAAAGTTGTACCATTGTATTTTATTAATCAAGAGGGATCAGATATATGAAAGGCTTCCTTTAGCACTATGTTATTTTGTTGGGATTGTTCTTGGTTTAAAACGCAGGCAGTAAAAAAGACCTCCGCCCTGATGAAAGCCTCTAACGCTGCCAGCTGTTTGCATTCAAATCATCAGTACCGCCGACTGAATACAGACTGAGATGCACTTTCTCCTATAGTGTTTAAACCTGTTCCTTACACCAAGTCTGCACCTTTTATTTTCTAATCAAGCTCAGCGTTAGATAATACCTCATATGCATACGGAACAACACAATCATAACATATATTTTTTAAGCTCCTCTGTGTATGTTTTCATCCGAGGTGGGAAGTAACTAAGTAGGTATCATTTTAGGGTACTTGTACGTTAGTTGAGTATTTCCATTTTATGCTACTCTATACCTTACTCCACTTCATTTAAAAAGGAAATAATGTGACTAGTGGACTAACTCTCACAAAAGAGTCAAATCATTTCAATCAGAACCTTGTTTTTCTGCACCAGTAAGATGCTTCTTGATGCAACAATATTGAAGGCGGTGCTGCTGCTGCTGGCGGAGGCGTCCTGCAGGACTCACAGCAGCTGGTGTGAGCCGGGCTGCGACTGTCGAGGAGATCTGAAGTTCACCATCTGCTCTCGGGGGCTCTTCACCCTGCTCCCCTCCAGAGTGCCGCCCTACACCGAGCTCCTGGACCTCTCCGACAACCTCATCTCCATCATCCCCGAGCGCTCCTTCGACAAGAACCGCAAGCTGCGCGTGCTTCTGCTGCAGAACAACAACATCAGCGTGGTGCAGCCCGGAGCCTTCTCCCAGCTGGAGTTCCTGCAGAAGCTGGACCTGAGGTGGAACCGGATCTCCGTGCTGACCGAGGGGTTCTCCGTCGGGCTGTCCTTCCTGCGGGAGCTGCAGCTGGCTCACAACCGGCTGACGCGCCTGGAGACCCACAGCTTCCTGCACCTGGACGCCCTGCAGAGGCTGAACCTGAGCGCCAACAGCATCCGCTCCATCCAGGTGATCAGTTACTCAGATACTGCACTAAGGTACCCAGCCTAGGGAGTAGCTTAATACATATAACTGTCTTTAATCTGATGACTTCTTCCCCCTCTGCAGGTCAGAGCGTTCGCCCCGATGAGCGGCCTGCGGAAGCTCCACCTGCAAGACAACCATCTGACCTCTCTGCGCAGCGGCATCTTCTCCATGCTGCGCTCCCTGGAGGTCCTCAACCTGGCCGGGAACCAGATCAGCGACATGGAGATGGGCGTGTTCAAACCGCTCACCAGCATGTCCCTGCTCAACTTGGCCGACAACAATATGTCGGCGGTGTACTTCAAGACGTTCCTCAGCATCTACTCCTACAGCACGCACATCCTGCTGGAGGAGAACCCGTGGAACTGCGACTGCGACCTGCAGAGAGTTTTCCGGAAGCTGCGCAGCATCCAGAGGCTCTACCTGGACGACTACTACAACCTGACCTGCGCTGAGCCGCCGGTGGTCAGAGACTACCGGCTGATGGACGTGGACACGGAGCTGTGCCTGGCAGAGACCGTCACCGTGCTCATCATCACCTTCACTGTGGTGACCACCTTGCTGGCCGCCCTGCTGATGGGCGAGAGGAAGAGAAGGAAGAAGAAGAAGATGACGCACTGGACGCAGCAGGGGGAACATTCGGAAGAGTCTGACTACTGAATCTGTCTATTTAAGTTTCTTATTTTCTGGCATTCTAGCAATATTTCCAGGAAACTGTTGCTCCAGTAAATATCTCAGGAACATCTGCATGGATAGAGATTTTCAATTCTAAGTTCATTTGTCTTATTTCCCACATGCCTCACACCAAAAAGATTCTGAAAAAGCTTCTAAAAAACCAAAACTGTAGAGAAAAAATCTGCTGCAACATTTTCTTTAAATGCAATGTATATTTTCACTGCTTTATTATTGCAAAGTTTTATTTTCTCATCTTAAATGCATTGTGGTGCATTTACACATGTTTCTGATGTGACCCTGAGTTTGTTAAACATTAAATGGGTGTTTAATGGGACATTTTAGTGACTTTAAAACTGTACTTTTTCAACACAACATTTTGAACGAGTCTTTAGCAGCCCCTGCAGGTCAAACAGATGCATTGCTTTTACAATTTGATGACATTAGATTTGATAGATGTGGCTTTAAATACATTTAATGTTTATTATTACTATTAATGAACTTGCTTTAATATAACCATTATATCACTCTAGGGACATATGCTTCAGTGGTAAGTTTATTTTCATTTTTCTACTCTACTGGATTTTTTTTATAGTGTTATCTGTGCAGAGTGATTTTAAACAGAATTACTGGAATGTCTTCAATATTTTTTTCATAATGATTGATGGAAGTTCCCCCTTGAACAGACATGCTGGAGCCCCTCAGGCGGAGTCTCATTGCTGCTTCAAAGTGAGAGGATTTAGCACTGAAGGGAGCCGGATGTTCACAAAATAAAAGCCTAATATATATTTGATATAGGGATGTATTAACTGTTTTTATCATCAGTTATTCATGCATTTATTTCATTTATCACCCAATTCATTGTTTGTTCTGAAAAAAGCGAGACATGTAGTTTTAGAAAGCTCAATTGGACGATCGAAGTGTTTTTTATTTCAAAATAAATCAATTTGTTATTATATAACACAGATTATTGGCATATATGGCATATTTTATTTATTTTATATATTTGTTTTTTTGGTCAAATAAGATTTCTATATTAGCTAATCACTTCCACAAATAATTACATCAGCTCTAATTGTATTTATTTACATATTTAGGGGTGGACAGATGTGCTTATTACAGGAAATACTTGTTTTTTTTACATTTAACTGAAGGAAATACATGTAAAATAAATTAAATGTAGTATATTGTGCAGCCACTTGAAACAAACTAGTTCATTTAGATAAACATCCTTCGACATTTTCAAAGATAATGCGATATAATCATAACAATGGCTTTTATTTTTGGAAGGGTTCGCCGGAAGTAGAAACATCCAACGTGGCGGACTTGATTGTTGGAGGACAGGTGGGAGCTCCGGTCTGACGAGCTGCTGTTGTTCCCAATACAAAGAGAGCAGAGCCGGAGAAACACTTCACATTAACGTTACAATTAAAAGGTTAATTTACAGTGTTACATTCAAACTGTATCCGCTAAATTAAAGTCGTATTTATGGCGCGTTTCGTTTGAAAAATGTTCGACAAAGGAGGGAGAAATTCAACAGAAACTGCGCAGTCATATTAATGGGAGCGGTAACCTGAGCAGGTAAGAACATTAATACATTTATTGTTTACATGTGCTGTTTTATCTTGCTTCAAGTCTTTTTAAAATACATTTGAGAGTTAAATTGAGGTCCCGAGCGGCTAAATGACAGCAGGTGCCACGTTAAGAGTAATTTCAAGCACGTGAAACCGGTTTCCTGTGCTTTGTTAAATTAGTGACGTCAATTTGGGCAATAAAGGTCATTTTTTGGATTTAACTGTGTTGTTTTTGGTGTGTTTTAAGGGGTTTAATAAGGCAGCTTTGTTCAAGATAACATATTACTTCCGCATAGGACCATCAGTGACAGTCAGTGACGGATACGCGGTTCCCAAACGTTGGTCCGCGGACCAGAAGCTGTTATTGCAGTTTGCATGTAACTTTATATTACTATTGTTGCATTTGAAAGGGGTTGATACTACAGTATAACTTTACTTTTTAAATATGATTTCAACATTTCCAAAAACCGACATTATTAGATATTCCTATAATTATGCAAGACTTATCAAAGAGGCTTTTTTTTCATCTGTAATCCCTGGACAGATGTTTTCTCCTTAAAACCCATATAATCTAATTTAATAAAACTGCATTATTTAAATAGACTTGATCTGATGTGGTTTGCATAACTAAAGGTGGGTAAATTATGGTTTCAAATATGTTAAAGTGAGTTTTAAAAAGTGTAACTATGGATCATACAATATAGTACTATAAAATGTTAAAATATTTGGATGTCTGTTTGTTTTATTATTAGGTATTCTGTTAGGGACAGTAAACATCCCTTAATCACAAAGTTAATTCGCACTAGAGGACCCTATTATCATGTTTGCCTGACATACTTTTGTTCTGACAGAGCAGACAGAACACATTTAGCCTGATTTGGTTACTGAGTGATGGTGATGCTCCATCATAATTTCCTTATCTTCCAGATATGCCAGCTGACGACAAGGTTGCCATCCTGACGGAGGATGAGGAGGATCAGAAGAGGAAGTATATGTTGGCCGAGCCCACCGAGGATCATCCGGCAGGTGCTTCTGAGACGCCACCTCAGACCTCGGTCTCTCAGCCGGAGCAGCAGCTGGCCTCCTCCGACTCCAACGACTGCTGCGAGAGGATGTGCCTCCGCATCAACATGCACCTCCTCATCTCCAAAGTCTTCTACTTCTTCTTCTACGCCGCCTACGGCTCTCTGCACCCTCTGCTGGCGTTGTACTACAAGCAGCTCGGCATGTCGGCCAGCCATAGCGGGCTCCTCGTCGGCATCCGCTACTTCATCGAGTTCTGCAGCGCCCCGTTCTGGGGGGTGGTGGCCGACCGCTTCAAGAAAGGGAAGGCCGTGCTGCTGTTCTCTGTTTTCTGCTGGCTGGTGTTCAACTCCGGCATCGGCTTCGTCAGACCAGCGGCGATGAAGTGCGTGGAGATAAACCCTGCACCTGTCACCACGACGACTACCATGACGACTTCCACGACTCTCCCGCCTGGTAACTTCACCAGCGGCTCCACCAACCGCAGCAGGAGTCGGCGGAGTTTTCTGGAGCAGTCCGGGCTTCAAAAGATGCTAGACTCTTATTTTCGCGTTTTCCACAGAGACAAGCGAAGCGTAGACGCCAACGACACTTCAGCTCCTTTCAACATCACTTTAGCTCCTTTTATTCCGGATAACACCACCCAGCTAACGCCTAACACCACCCAGCTAACGCCTAACACCACCCAGCTAACGCCTAACACCACCCGCCCCACCACCACAAGCACCACCGCAACCTCCCCTGCTCCAACCAAAGCCAAGGAGCATGAGACCATCTACAACCAGGACCAGGTGGAGAGCCTCTTCCTGCTCATCCTGCTCGTCATCATCGTGGGCGAGTTCTTCAGCGCCCCCACCCTCACCATCGTGGACACCGTCACCCTGCAGTACCTCGGGAAGGCCCGTGACCGCTACGGCCTGCAGAGGATGTGGGGCTCCCTGGGGTGGGGGCTGACCATGCTGCTGGTGGGCATCTGGATCGACCACACACACCTCATACCGGTGATCGAAGGCCTGGGCTGCATTGTGCCCGAATTCCGCAACTACCAGATCGCCTTCATCGTCTTCGGCGTGATGATGACCGTCGCGTTCATCGTCGCCACGCAGTTTTACTTTGAGGACGGCAGCGAGTACCAGCAGGAGGTCCCGGAGGCGGTGGTGGAGGACAGCCCCAGGTCCACTCCCGAGGAGCAAACTCCCAGCAGCCCCGGCACCAGCACTGCTCAGGAGTTCCACTACAGCGACCTGCTTAGGCTCCTCAGCAGCGTGCGCTACAGCTCCGTTCTCTTCGTCGCCTGGTTCATGGGCTTTGGGTACGGCTTCGTCTTCACCTTCCTGTACTGGCACCTGGAGGACCTGCAAGGCACCACTACGCTGTTCGGGATCTGCTCCGTCCTCAGCCACATCTCCGAGCTCGCCGCGTACTTCACCAGCCACAAGTTCATCGAGCTGGTCGGACACGTCAGGTAAAATACATACTGATTTTTATACACACAAATGTTACCAAAGTCATGCATTCTCTCTGAAGATCCCCGACAGAAATATTGCACACATCATTTTTTCCAAATCTAATTGGGGGAAATTTAGTTTTTTCAAATATACCTTTTAACTTGAAGAAACTGAACAAAATAACTTTTTAATGTTCTCACTATTAAAAGATTTCTAATAACATACTGAGATCTTTTTAGTTATTCCTTATCCTTCTTTACATTCTACACATCCTAAGGAAATACAAAAAACATATACATTTGTTTTAAGTTCAATTAGATGTCATTTCAATCTTGAAAATGTTTACTGACTTTCTCAACTCTTAGCATCTTATCTGCCTTCGATACAGCCTAATATCCCCTTCTTGCTTCACACTGAGCCGTTAAATCCTCTCTGCAGCAGGGGTTAAAGTGGATGTCTGACACAAAGCTGTCATTGATGCTGGGGGTTTCTGTCAGAATCGTGGGCTCCAGGGACATTTGAGAGTGAGGTGTAAGATTTCAGCTCTGAAACGTCCCTACTGTGGAGTCTGAAACAGAAGAGAAAGTCCTGCTGCTGCTGCTGGTGATATTAATACGCCTCAAATGAATCCCAAACCAAAGCCTTTTTGTTACTTCCTGAACAGTGTGACATCACGCTATAACACTTGCACTCCTATTGGCTAGTGCTCCAACACATTCTACGTGATAGGCAATTTCTACACTAGTAATACTAAAACATTCTGTCACAAAACGTTCACTTCATGCATAAGAAAGCAGAGAATAAGTACAAATAAAACTGTCCATAAAAACAGGTTAAAATGGAGAGATTAACTTCAGTCTGTTTTTCACTTCTGTCTCAGTTTTAGGCAGTTTAATCTCACACTTACTTTCTCTTCATGTTGTTCAGTCTTCAGTGGAAACTCACTTCCTGTTTTACCGACTGCAGGAAACAGCTTTTTAACATCTCACTTGCTGTTGGGTGAGATGTAGAATATATTTCTATTTTCGTGAGGTTAATAAGATTTAACGTTTTTTTCCAAGCGGGTCATTTATTTCATTTCGTGCATCGTGTTCTTTGTGTGCTCGGCAAACTTTCTTTGGATGAACAAACACTCAGTAATCTTGTCTTGTGATGAAC